CTCTACTCTACTCTACTCTACTCTACTCTACTCTACTCTACTCTACTCTACTCTACTCTACTCTATTCTATTCTATTCTATTCTAAAAACTCATAGCTATCCAATTTTCTTAACTGTTATCACTACTACAACAAACCAGATCACAACATCTGAGAAATATTTTTGGGGTGGATAAAAGGACTTCAGCAGCTGTCCATTGAGCTGAATTGGGAATTTGCACAATGTCTTCTTTGTCTAAAATTAGGACTTATTGGTATCAAATTAAAACTATGGAAGCTGATAGACACCCATAATTGTGTCTGTTAGAAGACACAAAATTTCAGTTAAAGAGCTCTTGGATTGTACAAATGAAATGGTATCAGGTATTGTGGTATCCCTGTCTCTTATTCAGCAGGTGAAGAAGATAAAAAAAGATTGCTGCACAAAGAATCTGGGATATAGAAGCTGAGAAAGATGCAGCAATCCTCATAAATTAGATATAATATGGCCCTTTATTGTAACAAAACACTTTGGTTGTGAGTCTAATTATAGTAAATGGTAGTGGTGATACACAAATATGATTGGCCTTGGCATTTGCTATTGTTATCTTTTTCACTTAATTTGATTCTTGTATTCCATTATTATATACAATCTTGTTAATATTCTGTGTTTGATATTTAAACAATGGCTAATCAACTAATTATTCCAACAATGTATGTTCATCAGAACAAAGTTGGGTTTATTAAAAGATAATATTTTTGGACTTGTTCGGACCCCAACTATAACACAGCATTCTTCATTGCTTTCTCAGATTAGTCACAGAAGTTCCTCAGAGGCTTTGAGTGATAAAAGCCAATTCCCCTTTTTCTTCCGGATACGCCCAAAAGATGGGGCTCAGTACCAAAGTATTGTCCAACTGCTCCTCCATTTCAAATGGACCTTGATTGGTCTCTCTGCTTCAGACAATGAAAATGGAGACAATTTCCTGAGGATTTTTCCTCCTTTGCTTGTCAGGAATGGAATTTGTGTCGTTATATTGCACCAATTCTCAACAACAGGAAATTTTGCACCCCTCAGGGTTGCCATGTCTAAGTGGAGACAAGTCAATGTCTTTGTTAACTTCATGGAAAGGGAAGCACTTTGGGACAGAATTCTTCCTTTCCATTTAACACTTATGCGTTTGTCAGGACCCATTGAAGGGAAAGTCTGGATCACCACAGTTTTGGGACTATACATCATACATTACAAACGAATTCTCAAATACATCCATAGTGTTTGGACCTTTGCTTTTCTGCAAAAAAAACAACTAAAACATGATGCCTTTGACCCCCATTTCTTTTTAGATCCCCAGTTTATAGGTCACACTTTTCGCTGTTCATTTTCAAAGCATGTCTTTTCTGTCAAGGGACGGAGAAGATGCATTGAAAAAGCACCACTGGAGATTCAAGAGAAAAGGAACAGGATCTGGATCAGAAATTATGAACATTATTACACTATCATTAAGACTCTGGCCTACACCTTGAATGCTGCATATGCCTTAAGATCTAGAAGGAAAAGAAAAGAGAGTGAAGAGAGTTTGGATGCTCCAAGGCTGCAGCCATGGCAGGTATAGGGTCCCAATATGGATCCATTAACCTTAGTAATTTTTCTGAAGACATCAGAAGGAGAATCAGGGGTACTATTGAAACTTCCTTGTGCTATAAAATGCTAACAGGATTGGCCAATCTAATAGCTCAGGTGAAAAATTTCTAAGCAGCCTATACCATAACATCATTGATTGATAAACTGATAAACTGATAAATTGATAAATTGGTAAATTGGTAGATTGGTTGATTGGTTGATTGGTTGATTGGTTGATTGATTAATTGATAAATCTAAGTGTTATCACTATTATTATCTACAGTATCTATCATCTGTCTACCTATCATCTATATTAGTCTGTCTGTCTGTCTGTCTGTCTGTCTGTCTGTCTGTCTGTCTG